GGGTAGCACTCACAATTATTAATTATCTATGTCGAAATCATAATTGGATTTAGTGTTTGTCGATGTTCCCTCTCCACTCATGTTGTTTTATTACAATTTAAAGCAGTTGAGACACTTTCCAAAATTGGCATGTGAAAACTTACTATATATATAGTGTGAATGTAAATGAGTGAACAGTGAATTTAGCAAGGAGGTGCATTGCATCTCAACATGTAAGATTACAAAACACTAGAAAATGAATAAAATAAAGAAAAAGACCAAGTCTTTTAATTATGAAAATTTGATATTGTAATTAGAATTGTTGTACGATTAATTACTTCAAAATACACGGGATGTTTTTTTTTCTTTACGCTCAAACTTATATCATAACAATACTTATCCATGTATTCTTATTCAATCCAGACCTCCGATCTAATTCTTCCGTCATAAAATACCATTTAGGATAATTTTTAGAGACTTTTCTTAAGTTTTTTTGCTTCATAATACTACAATATGTGGCTAATTAAGAGTGTTTTTATTACGATACTCATATATATATATATTGAATAACTATGTCTATCTGTGTACCAAATTCAAACCGGGTCTCCAATATGGTCTTTATTTCAACCGACACACCCTTGGATGGAGAAGAATTTTCATTTCGTATAGCTTTTTACTGATTTCATTTTTGTCGTTATTTATTTTTTGCTTTTACACCTTTGACTCCAAAATATAATCTACCATGTAACAACCATTTGGGCCTATTGACATTTTTAATTTTAGATAATAGTAGAAACTCCCAAGTGTGCAATTTGAAACAGTAGCTTCAACTCTATACAGTACATAATCACAAGTTTACCTTGTTAATAAGTTTGTAAATTGTATACGTGGACTGTGATGAAAGTCCAAGAGAGAGAAAAAAAAATACACGTTTTGGCACACACAGACAGAGGATTTATTTTATTGCATGCAAAGCGTGAGGAAGACCGTGTCTAAAACACGCAATAACGTATAGCAAATTGGACACAAAAGGCACTTTTGACTGCGTAACTAAGGGTGAGATCAAAATTTAAATTTTATGAATTCTGAACTTGTCATTTAACGTATTTAATACGGTAGCTTGGCCCCTATCATAACAAACAAAGAACATGCTGATGCTGAATTGTAAAGACAGGACCACGTGTATAACAAATGTTAAAAGGTGTTTATTGTGGACCTACTATTTAAATCGCAAACAACTTGTCATGTATCTGTACCAATCCTTAGCAAAAGTATTGCGTATAATTAAACAATCATTATGGATGGTGAAGAAGAAACACCTAGTAGGATATCACTAGTGAAATTTATTTTCTCAAATTCTAATGAGAAAACTATTTTAAGAGACTTAACTGGTAAAATTATTGTCATGTGATGGATTCAAACCTTGGAAATCACTTTTGATGAAAATGCAAGGTAAGACTGCGTATAATAAGCTCTTATGGTTTGGTCTTTCCTATATCCTGCATATAACGAGAGCTTTAGTACACCAACAATCTTTTTTTTTTATTTTTAAAAAGATTTTTTTTTTTTTATCAATCAGACATGGAAACACGCCCAAAGACTTTCGAGTAAAGTTTTTTGAGATATTTGATGAGATTGGCAGTTGGGCACATGATGTGTCATTTTTTCTCCCATTTGTGTGGTATCAATCCACTATGAATCAATTCTCACCTTTGGATTCGTTAAATCAATAATAAATGCTATCACATGGAATTATTGGTGATGTTAACCACTACTTTTACTTTCCCAACGAATTTTTCTTTTGAAAAAAGTGCTCTTCGAATATGTTTTAGACTTTTTCAGTTGTGTATGTCACACTTTCTGAAAAATGTTGATAACACTAGTGCACTCAATCAATTAATTGTTGACCTTGCAATTTTCTCCAGCCCACATTATTTTAGAGGACCTAAGTCAACAAATAGCCCATTGTTTAGAATCATCTGCCCCAATTATGATTTTTTTGTTTTGTTTTGTTTTTCTAGAACAAAAAGACTAGTAAGATCCCAAAGTATAATTACAAATTTATAGTTCAACCTATTTTTTGTCTTTTGGTGAATTAGCCTAGAAAAACTGCGCCGTCTAATGGTTTTGGGCCTCTGTTTTGGTGCACCTGCTTTAAAGAATTGGGCTTCTATTTTGGTCTACTCCTAGAAGGTACTATTCCTGAAGGTTGAATAGTTACACTTGTTTGATTAAACAAAATTAAAAAATGAGAGGAAAAAAAATCAACTATTTTCTGCATTCACACGCTATTGTTAGAAACTTGAGTTTCATTTAACTGCGGGATGGGATAGACAAAAATATTTTATGAAATTGGTTATTTTACTTCCATATTGGACACCTAATCCCACCATTTTAGTATACACAGTGGAGTAAAATAATACCAAAACTAGTTAACATTCCTAACAAAATGTGACATAAAATAGTTCAACATTTTATCTCGATATTATTAATTTATTATTTATCCACCAACCACAAGCAGATTGAAAAGGACTTGCCCACAGGCTACAGCAAACCCAACTGCATAAACTTCTCTAATCTATCTAGAGCCACGTCACCAGCCAAAATACACGTATACCTTATCATAATTCATAACTATAATCATGTAAAAAGTAGATTAGTACTTTTTTGTTAATTTGACCTTTTTAAAGTTCTTTTCCACGTTCACACCTGAAGTAAACCGTACATGCATTTAATTTACAGATGAGAAAGGCAAAGAAATCAGAGCATCATCCAATCGAAGAGACTAGGATGCCTTTCATCACAAAAAACAGAAATTACTCCGGGTAATTATGTTATGTTGAAATTAGTAATGTTAACAATAATTATGCTAATATTATTTCGTATGTACGGTTTGATTTAATATATTAAAAATAACATGCATTGCAAATGCATACATTATTTTCCTAATACATCCTACCTAACACCCCTTACTGTTTTGATTTATTTATTTTTAAAACGATCTTTTCACATCTCTCTTGTGCTATTTTATATTTTTTTATGATATAAATTAAAACACAAATTTGTAAAAGCACAAAATCAATTGACCTATTACGAAGTTAGCTTTTAACATTCATATTATTCCTATAACACTTGGCATAAATTCAGGATTTAATTTATACAACAGACGTACCATAAATTTTAAAATAACTAGTTACCACAAAAAATAATCACATGTAATTGTGAATAATAACAGTGCGTTAGTAAATACTAGTAATAACATTGAGGGGAAAGATTAGCAGCTCTACAGTTTATGACTTTTTTTAGTTTATATAAATTAGATCCATTATCGCATCATTATTCATGTACCGTGAACATTAAACCTATGTAATTAACTTTAGTGCATGTATCTTTTGACTTTGATTTGCACCCAAAAAATGTATCCTTTGACTTTAATTTGCACCAAAAAAAAATAATGTATCTTTTGACTTATAGATAGAGGTTAATGTTCTTTTGTTTGAAAGGAGACGAGTTATAAAAAGTCGTCCTCTGCAGTTCATGAGGGGAAATTGTATGAGATTTAATCATACCTTCCTTGTGATATAAATGATTTAATATTTCACGTGTATCATACCTAACGCGTAGGGTTGAAATTACTTCTTTTTTTTCCGGATGCATATGGGTTATGGTCTTAAACAGTGGTCTAAGTTCTCAAGTCTCAAAAACTCTGTATCTATCCAATCTTCCACCAATTTTTTGTTTCACTTCCCTCCCTTTTTATGATTCATGAATCACGACCAAACTTCCAACCACAAAAGGTAAATAAGAGAAGAAAAGAAAACTCTTGGGGGTTGTGTTTGGGTGCCAAACTCACCAAATCTATATTAATAGGCAACCATTTCAGTGATTTTGTTAAGAGAAAAACTGAAGACTGCCTATTTTGGTGAGTTCATATGGAGAAGAAGAACAGCAACATGTCAAAGAAAGAAGAAGGATTTGTTGAACAAAATCAAGAAGGTGATAATCATCATCAGCATGTTATGCATAGCCAAGTGAAGAAGATTAAGGAGGAAGAGTCTGAGAGAAATGTAATTGACTGGCCGATTTTAGCAAGGGAGGTCATCATGACCAGGCAACACTCTAGATCACGCCTTGGATTAATCTCTGGCCAACCTATCTCTGTCGGCGAATCTTAGAAGTATTGAGTCAAAATTGGTTGTTTTGAATTATTAGAAGCCTATATAGATCACTTAGGTTCTATATCTCTCTTGCTCTACCATTTAAGAGGGATTTAGGTTTTGTTTTTATGTATGTAATTATGACTCCAGTACAGAATATTAAATGGTTATGAAACCTTTAGAAGAGTTTATCTCAGTTTTCCTCTTCTATCTAGATTGCTTCCTTGTTTAGTCTTTTTTCTTCTCGTGTTTGTGTAATTTTGAACTGGATGGTTAATAGAGAAGTCTTATCTTATCCATGTTTGACAACTTTTTGCGAACATCAAAAGCTAATGATGAAAATGGCGCTGACAATTTTATATTCTCGTTGCAAGCACAGAATAAACTCTATTTCTATTTACAGCTTACGATTTTTTCAGTGTGTTTCTACCTATTTTAGGCCTCCATGGCGAAAAATTCATTTGTTTCATCATGTTTTTAAGAAGATGACATCATGGATCTTGAATCTCAAACAGACAGAGGTACTTTGTAGTTTATACTGCAGCTCTTAACTTGGAAAGTCCACTCTACTTTCTACCTGAGAGCATACCGAAAATAACTTATATGTATGTACTTTCCCATAAAAGTTCTAACGGAATTATGCTTGATTTTCACATATCCCTGGGAGAGCTTGGTACCTTGGATCATAGTTCAAATAAGGCGATTAAAGTAATAGATGGAATGAAAATTAAGAAAACTACCAGCTAGCTATGAACAACTAATGAATCAGGCTCACAACATACATAGCAAAAGGAACAATAGATTGGAGAGCAAAATAACAAAATGAAGAGCGTTAAGAAATTCAGTAGATTTGTGCACCAAAATTAACCATACCAAATTTGCGATATCTATTATATACTTATCAGTCAGAAAACTAGTACTATCAAGGGAAATACTAAGCAGCTTTACACCAGCTAGCAATAAAATGTGCAGCAATTCTACAAAAGCTATGGATCATATAAGGCTTTGTCCTTGTTCTTTTAGTGAGAACAGAAGTACCAAGCTAGGTGACAAAATCACTAGAAATGCAGAACAGTCAATTACTCAGGATAACGTGAACAGCTTACCTATTGATTGAGAAGATTTAGAATGGTGCAAATAGCTCAGGATTCACCCCGGACATTCTGAAGTAGATATTTAGCATTCAACAAGAGACCATCAGCCTCCTCATTTGAAGTGTCAAGCAAGCGCAGTTCCTTAATCTCTTCTTGCCACTTTTCCATCTGTTCCTTGTGGATTCTGCAAACAAAAATACTTCAGCATTTGTAGCCGACCTTGTCCTAATTAGTTAATTTTTCCACTTCTACACTTACACAATCATTCGTTCTTCAAACTCATTACTCAATTCCTTCAGCATGGACTTCCCTGATTCCAGCAGTTCAGAGACCTTCTCGAGATGAAAACAAGAATTGTGTCAACCAATACACATGCATATTTTAAAGAGTGTGAGCGAAACTTAAATTACAATCACTGGTATTAAAACATCAAGTTCATCATTCACTTGATTAGACTCAACTGTCTCTTCTCCCTTTCTTATGTCAGCATCATAGTTATTTGTCGAGGTATAAAAAATTAAGAATCTAAATTATACCAGGTTAGTGAAACGGTTGATCTTTTCAAGAATATTAGCAATCTCCAGCTCCACCTGTTCTGATGCCAATGTGGCAACTGCAGTTTCTTCTTCTACTGTCTTAGCAACTTCACTATCAGTCTGTGTGGTTCCATTATCCTCCACCTAACAACAATAAACTTCAATCAGGAAAAATATGAAGTTAAAATGCTTTAAAAGAAGATAGGGGACATACAGAAGGTTTGAGGCGCTTATTTGTGACATCAGCAACTGCTAGTTCCATTGTGGATCTGTACTAGCAAAAACTGGACAACATTACACTCGTAAGAGACTGCCAAAACAATAAACAAATACGAAAGCAAAGATGACGCCATATTAGGGAGAATTCCTCATAATCTTAGTAACTGAAATCCACATGTAATATCCTATCAAATGTCAGATACAAAACGTGTCTCAAAAACAAACACAAAACTTACTAAAATAGAAACACTAACACTTCCTAATCAGAACAAGCATGGATCAACGCTGAAAGTACTAGTCGGAACAAACAACAAATGATGGTGATATGGAAACAATGAGCAAATAATCACAAACTTTAGTTAAAGTTTGCAGTATTGACCACCTAAACAGCAGAATACTCGTGAAGCTAAATTAGAATCACACAAATTAAAAAATGAACAGTAAATTCCTTGGTTGAGTAACTGATATAGATCAAGCTTCTAGATAATATAATCCATACATCGTGCTTCTCGTCATCATTAATACAATCAGCAAATCGATAATCGTAGAACTTATGCGGTGCAAAGTAGTTGTGGATTATTATTCAAATTTTCTGATACTGAATTACTTCTCGTGCTTAAACAATTCGAACGAGTTTGTTCCCCAGTGGAAAAGTCGAATCGGTAATCGAGATGACGGCATAGATAGAGAGAGACTTACAGCTCGATTCTGCCGGATAAATTGATCACCGCTAGTTCTCCGCCGAAGACAAATGGAGAAGAGTAAGTTGGAGCGGAGGGAAAGAGAGAAAGCTCGCGCGGAATTTGAAATTGGGGAGGAAATGAATCAATCGGAATATTGATAGTCAAGCAAACGGGCTAAAAGAGATATTTTGGGCTTGCAGGTTTAAAATCACAGGGCCCAATGCTTGAATCTCGATAGAGCTAAAATGGGGAGAAATGGGCAACATAGCCACTTTACACCGTTATTTAGGAAGGAAAACTTTCGCAAATAGCCACTATAATAAACTTAATTATGTTCCATAGTTATAGTTTGCATATTTACTGCTTGTAGTTACAGTTTAAGCTACCACATTTGTATAATTCGTGGTACATTTGTATAATTAAGTTATTTTTGTATAAACTCGAAATAACGATTTTATACAATTACAAACATCAGAAGTGTAAACAGTTATACTAATTATATTATACAAATTCCGAATTATACAAACGTGTAAATTATACAAAACTAAAAAAGTTGAGCCACATAATTATAGCTAAAAGTAGGTCGTGAATTGTAATTAAGGCAAACTATAGTTATGTTGACTAATTAACTAATATATGCATATGCTTATATGCGTAATTTTTCCATTTAAGAATTAGGTAATTTGCACAAATAGAATTTTGGTGACGTTGTTTAAATTTTAACCTCGTTAAAAATTTTGCAACAATGGTTGTTTCCTTTGAATTTAAAGCAAAAATTATGACGTATTGTCAAGATTTTTTAATTTTATATTATTGAAAAATACTTGCCTTAATAGTAAATTATGGTGATAGTTATGATTTCTGACTCAATCCTAGTGAACATCACACATATGTTGTGTAGAAATTTATCAATATATTTTTGCTTTAAAATTGATCCAAATTAACAACTTCACATTTGATATGGAACTTATTTTCAATAGGTAAAAAGAACGAGGATAAGGAGAGGATGTTGAAGAAGAAGAAGAAGAAGAGGAGGCAGATATATAATAATAATAATAAGAAGAAGAAGAAGAAGAATAAGAAGAAGAAGAAGAAGAATAAGAAGTCAAAGAGTCGTACAAAATTTCAATTTAGTCGTGATCAAAATCATTAAAGACACATTTGATTTAAAATTTCCACTTGGCGATTGTGGGTATTGTAGGCATATAAAAGTTAAGGTGTTTAAGAATGTTATCTGTAGAATGTACAGGGCTAGAGCGATCAGGACAGACGAGATCCCACTGAAATTGTGGAAGAGTGCATTTATTGAGTGACGAGTTGTTTAATGTCATTTTCAAGACTACAACGCTGCCCGAAAAATGAAGATGGAGTACAACAATTTTGTCGTACAAGAACAAGGGTGACATTTAAAATTGTAACAACTATAGAGTCGGGTATCAAAATGTTAAGCCACACCATGAAGGTTTGAGTGATGATGGTAGAGATGAGGGTGAAGAGGCCGTATTTATTTTCGATAATCAGTTTGGATTCGTGTTGGAACACTCAACTACAAAAAAAAGAACTTACACATGGTGTTCATCGATCTAAAAACGACTTACGAGTTACGATAATGTCCAAAAGAGTTTATGGAGATGTTTGGAGGCTAGAGGTGTATACATGACACATAGATCAAGAATATGTAAGATGGAGCCATGACTCGAATAAGAACAACGGGAGGAGATTCAAAACACTTTCCAGTTTTGATGGGGTTGGATCAGGGATCATCCTTATCCCTTTTTTTTGCTTCAATGTTGAATGAATTGACACGATAATAAATTCAAAGTGAGTTGACATGGTATATGACTTTGTTATATTATTCTATCAAATTGATTTTGATATAAAATAATATAATAGTCCGTGTGTATATATATATATATTAAAATATATCACAATAATATAAATTTTTTTGGTACCATATCAAACAAAATGTTGATTTTTTTCTCCACAATATTAAACCAAAAAAAGTAAGTAGAAAAAAATAATCTGAGCCACCACTTAACAATTAACACAGACTCCTCCTCCTGAACCATACCCTCCAAACTTACCGTTAAAACGAAAGGCTCATCTTTAACAACCCCTCTTTTTCGCTCAGTTGAGAAACTCTCTACAGCGACTTACATTTTTCATCGCTCTTCTCTTTCCCATAAACCCTAATTTCTCAAGAATTGGGAAGAAAATATGCAAGCAACATCTGTTGTATTCAATACCAAGCCGGTTCTAGCTCCAATTCATGTCAAGAGTCTATACAGCGAACCGCCCTCTTCCTTGGTAGCATCTCAATCCAATTGGGTTCACCGGAAGAAGAGTATTAAGTTGCGTTCTCGTAGGCATCCTCAGAATCGAGCTTATTTCATTCAGCATAAGGTATGGTAGTCTTCTTGATCTTTTCCGGGTTTTCTTGCTCTCATTTGACTAGTTTTCTTGTTCTTTTCCGGGTTTTCTTGTTCTTTTTCGGGTTTTATTTGTTCTCAATGACTTCTATTGCTTCAACGTGTCAAGAATCAGCAATAGTTGGTTTCTTGTATTAGATAAATTGCCCCCGGGGTTAACTCAATTTGAGGAACAAGTTCTAGCCCTGCCCAAGCGAACCAGTGGCAGAACCACATGTATCCTAGGGTCGTATATATATATATTGAATCCCTTCGTTTTTTGTACCAGTGGCAGAACCACATGTATCCCAGGGTCGTATGTACTACTTATATATATATATAAATATATATATATTTAATCCCTTTGATTCTTTCGTATATTTCCATTGAAGCAAACTAAGTCTAGTGTTTAAGTGGAAAAGGTTAGAGGGTCAGACCCATTCAAGTGTAGAAGGATATTGGCTGCGTAGATGGATCCAAATGGATTTTTAAGTCATCAAAAAGAAAAAATTAATGGTCAAGAATCTGCAATAGCTGGTTGACTTGTAAAATTATATTGTTTGGAATGTGTTTATGTGCACCTATTGGAGTTTTGAGGTCTAAAACTCGATTTAATGTTTACTTTTTTCTTCTTATGATGGTGGTGTGCGTGCAATTTGGGAGCACCTCGACTATTCCACTACCATGTGCTACTTCCATCGTCAGAAGTACCGAGTAACTCTACTCTCTAAGACTTAGGTAGAGTGGGATAGAAATCACCTTAGTTTTTTTTTTTTTTTTTTGGTCTCTGCTGGGATTTGAACGCGAGATGTCATGGTTTTCCTGGTACATCATTGGACCTTGGCCACTACACCACAACCTTAGACATTTCCTACCTTGACTTCAATTAAATGTTATTCAAGGTTGTCTGTAATCATTACGAGGTTGATAGTTCTGATTTCCCTTAACAGTGTGTGTATAGTGATCTCCATATTTTTGTGATACTTAACTTTCAAAATAACAAAAAAGTGCTTAGATGGATATAACATTTAGTGCGTCATTTATCATAGCTGGAGAATTATTATGATTGCCCAATTCTTTATGAGGCATCACAAGTTTACGCCTCTTTTAAAAACCTATTTTTCCCCATCAGGAAGAGAAAAGTTAAAAAACTGTAGCAGCCGGAGATATATGTGCTAGGATAAGGCTTTTGAAACCATTTTGGCGTCTTCATAGTCTTGCAGTAGTTTGGTCCACTTATTCTGCCTGTCCAACTTACTCTGTGATAACTGATAAGAGACTACTATATGATGAAAATGTATATGATGGTTTCGGACTTGAAGACGAGCCAAAATAGTTTTAAATTGAGGGAAATGAATGTATATTTTTCTTTTTAATGGTTTCTGGTTAATTTTGTCTCTTTTCTTGATTGAAGAATGCATCCTTCTGTCAGTGACATTGTCTTTGTTAATCTTTTACCTTTTTGTTAAGTTGCAGAATGTGCAGGGAAGATGTCTTCATCAGAATGTGGAACAATTAAACAGAGCCAATATATTATATCGGAGGCAACCTGTTTCGTGCTTTCTCTATCCTCAAACCAGAAAAACTCTTTCCAAAAGACCAAAAAATGGGGTCTTTCTTGACAAGTCTAGCTTTCATCTGTCAAAGCAGCCTTGTGCCAACATCTCTGTAAGAGTTATCCTTCAGCAGTATTCATGGTGGTCTTTAAGTTGTTATAGGATGGTTTAAACTCTTGATAAATCTGCTATTGTGTTTATTGATGATTAAATGCTCAATCAAATATTTTTAGGGTTTATTAATTAAGGACATGCTTTAATTAGATAAAATACCTGTTGAGCTTGTCTCATTGACCTGGCTTTTTAGCATTGACATTATTGGTTGGAATTTGAAATGGTTTACAGTGAAGAAGTCGAATTGTGCAAGGACCATGTATATAGTTTCTTAATAGTAAATTCCTATCTCCGAAAATGTTCCCAATTCCTCTTGTCACAATGATGACAGCAAACAGGGAACACACTCAGTTGATGCAGCACTGTCTAGCTCAATCAAGGGTTGATCTGTAGATGTCCATGTGAAGAATGAGCGAAAGCATTATCTTAGCTCTGGTTAAACTCTTTTGGTGCTCCTATAAGGATGTTGCATGCCAAGATGTTTTGGGCTTGTTAATCTAGATATGTTATATGTATATTGCGGTACTATTTTGTTATTTCTTTGCTTCTTATCACTAGTTTAAGAACTAAAAGGTGCAGTTTTGATTAGCTTTGTATCTTAAATTCAAATTGTTCGACTATATTTTCTTAAATTTAAATTGATAGACTATATTTGCCTAGTTTTGGTCTGCCATAGAATATCATTTCCAAGCCAAAAATTTGCAGGTTCCACGGGCGACTGTTGGCCCAGATGAACCTCATGCAGCAAGTACAACATGGCCAGAGGGTGTCTTGGAGAAACAAGGATTTGATATGCTTGATCCTGAAGTAGAGAGAGCAGAGTTTGAACAGTTTTTGAGTTCTGAACTTCCATCTCACCCGAAATTGTACCGAGGGCAGCTCAAAAATGGACTTCGCTACCTCATTCTACCTAATAAAGTTCCTCCAAATAGGTATGTTCCTATTAATATTGAAAGGATCGATATACTTTGATTATATTATAACGATTCCAAAAATCTCGCGTTCCCCCCTTGTGAATAAATGTTGTTTATGGATGTTACTTCTCTT